CTGCTTTCAGCCTTAACTGTTTATTTTTAGAAGGTGGGACATAACATATTGGATTTATTTATTTTTAAGCAAAACCAACACAAATCAGTTGTAACTTGCCATTTTTTGTGATTTTTTTTTAATATGGAATCCTATAATTGTAAAGGCCAGATTTCTGTTACCAGAAATCTACATAAAATTTAGATTTGAGCAAATCACCCCAATTCAATTACAGTAACTTTGGGTTTGATTTTTTAAAAAGTTCATTCTTAGCATATAAGGGGGAACATCAAAATGCCTGCAGCTGCTTCAGTTTTAGCAGTTTCCATACCTTTTTAGCAGCAAGGACAATAAACTCTTTGAAAATTCTAAGTCTGAAATTTAAGTTGAATGTCTTCGGTGGTTTCCACACAATACATTTTTGAAGATTCCTTTCTGTATCTTTTTTAAAGCAAAAAGAGTGGGATGAACAACACAGGGTAGCCACTATTGCCAAATAGTCCAGCAAAGAGCCTAATCACTTTGAACTAATGAATGATTAAATGAATGAATGAAGATAATATATGATATCCTGCCTCTGATCACTGGATTTCTGGAGCCCTAAGAGAACTGGTATAGCAAACTTGGGGAGGAGTCCTTAGCACTGGCAGGACTTGATTGGGCCAATGTTATACTTTGAAGCAAGGAGAGGTTATAGAGTTGATGGTCACAGGGAAGGAAGCTTGCATTATATGTAGACTTCTCATTTTATATTCATAAATACAGTAAACTCCATTTAGGCCATTACCTCTTTGTGTTATCTCATCACCATTTCAATTACTGATGAAACTTAAACTTTGTTCATACAGAATTTTAAAAAGAGATTTGACCCAAGAGTCGATTTCTGACCTTGCCTTGCTTATATTGGGCACCCAATGATGTTTCCAGAACCAGCACAGAAATATAATAATGCACTAGCATGTCAGAATGAAAAATTAAGTTTGTAACTAGACACACAGGAAACTGAGAGGTGAGGAAATGAATGAAGCCCGAACAATGTTAACATTTCCATCTCAGAACAGATCTAAGGGGCAGAATGTTTAAGAAAATGACAGATTAAGTGGGCCATAAGTATAACAGCATGGATCATATCATTCAGCCTCTCATTGGGCAATTTTGCAAATTAACAATCCAAGAAGCAGCAGAATCTATCAAATCTGCAAAATGAATGCTTTCAATCAAAGTACTGGCCAATCTGAGCAAGGGGTAAAAACAGAAGTAACTACTCGAAGAGTTCCAAGTGGATTGTGCATTTGTGTAAAAAGATAACTCTGAATAGATGGGTTATCTAAAAACAGGATTTAAAGGGGGGAAAGTTCAGTAAAAGCAAGGCAGTGGAAACCAGCAAATTGTTATAGATTTATTCCTCTGAACCTGAGTTCACATGCTGTTCTTTACTGATGAGACTGGCTACACCAGACATATCCGCAGCAACCCAAGAATTTGTCAAAATAATGAAATGTGTGCCTTTATGTCATGATGCAAACTTCACCCTTTATGTAGTTGCAAAGAGAGTTTGGGCTGCAATATCATAGCACACATTATGTCATTTGGCCCTACTCAAGTGTGGCTCTTATTTCCCCTTTACACTTATTCACCTTCTCACAGGAATACACTCAGCCCATTTATGATGTTAATGGTACTATCAAGTTTATTTCATAAAGTATGTAAACTGAGGTAGACAAGGTTTCTACATAAATCATTGGTTTCAAGGATATATTCCATTATATTGACATAAAGATTTCTGTAGTCCCCTGATATTACACAAATACAAAAGTGAAAGTGGACAGAGAAGCTATTTTTTGCCAGATATGAAATACAACAGGCTGAAAGAAATCAAGGAGGATCTTTGGCAATAACTAAAAGTATATCTGAAAAATGATGTCATTTCAGCTTACAAACTTCTCTTCTTTGCAACATTATCACACCTATAAAATCCTAAACATTTACCCAATTCTGCATTATGTACAGCATTAGATTTCGCAGTATAAATGGAACAACTTGCAATATCTGAAAACATTTTTTCTATTCAATAGTTTAATAGCTTTCCATGGTCAATTTTTCAGTAGAGTAAAATAAAACCAAAGTGCAACAAACATGAAATTCACTTAACAAAAACAAAATGCAAAGAAAATTCTAATATATGCTGAAGATTTGGTTACGTGACAGATGGATTGTCATGATTGAAAACTAGAGTTCACTTCATATTTCTTACTGTCCTAAATCAGTCAGCTCCATGTGTAAAGGGAGCCTTCTGATGGCCATAGTCTTCTATTACAGTCAGATAACTGAATCATAATTTATTTTTTTCTTAAAAGCACAATATCTATCATATTGCTACTGTCACAATTGCTCCTGGCACTTAAGTAAGATTTATTCAACTTTTTCTCCACAAAGAGGGCATAATATTGAACAGGGATCCCTCACTTGATCATCTGAGTCTCTTCACTGGCATCATAGAATTCTTCATTGTCACTTTCAGTTCTGGATGAATCTTGGTCAGACTAAAACAGAAGTAAGAGTTTGATCACAGGAATATTTCTTCAGCATGCTTTGGATAAAATATTTAATAGGATCAATCTTGACACTGCAATAACATTTTACCAATTTATGGATGGAAGACAGAAGTCTTTGGCAGGTTTACCTTCTCTTATTGTTTTTAGCACTCCAACTGCAATAGTTATAATATTAAGAATAATTTACAAAGGTTTTAAGGGTTTAAAAAGTATTTAAATAGCATATATGAAAATGAAGTAACTACTAGTGGAAACTAAACAAACTGGTATATTCCAATAAATGTGTATTTTTAAATTTTATTAGAAATACTATATATCTGTACCCATAAAGAAAGCTGAGTGCCTAGCAAGATAGGCAAAAATATATCCAAACATGAGTCCAGAATGCTGGAAATGTCAGCACAAACAGGGTACCTTCTTTCATATGTGGGAACTATGGTTTTGAGATATAGATGAACAATCGTTCCCTGGCTGACATAATGAAAAATACTGGATGTTGGGTGATACAATTCAACAATATTTCAACTTCAACCCAATTAGTATGCTATGCAAAATCTGCAAATTGTGGCTTATTCAGAAGCAACTCTAAATATGGATTAGCACAATAAATTAATTTGAAGATTAATTAAAAATTAACTAGAACATTTTAAACTAGAAATGTTTGTGCTATATAGAACTTGAATCATTCAGTTTTCAACACTGTACAAAACAGTACTTCTAATTTTGGTTTTTTTAATGTATTTTAAATTGTCAGTCAGAAAATAGGGTAATGGTACTAATTAGTAAAATGTGTAAGATGTTATTTCTTTGACCAAAGAACTATGTATTGTAAAATGATTTAAATACCGTTTCCCCCAAAATAAGCCCTAGCATGTTTTATGCATGCACCTAATATAAGCTCTACACCCCCCCCCAAATAAGCCCTACTTAAGAACCTGCACAGCTGGCTGGCTGCCCATTCCACTTGGTTGTTCGAGGTACCGTGGGGGCAGGAGGTGAGGGGGTGGTGGAGCTTATCTTAGGACTCCCACAGCCAGGCCATCTGTGCCCCAACACCTGCCTCGCGGCGACAGCACCAACAGCCATTGCAGCTGGATCACATGTGGCTACCAGCCAACTTCTTCTGCTTGCTTGTGGATGTAATGGATCAGGAGGCCAAGTGGTGTGCTGGTGCCGCGAGGCGAGGCAGGTGACAGGGTATGGATGGCCTGGCTGTGGGGGCCCTGAGATAAGCTGATGTGGGGCGCATGGGCAGCTCCATCTCCCTATCTCATCTCATGGCTGTGGCACTGGTGTGTCGCTCATTGCGGCCATGAGCAAGCAGAAGGAGGGACCAGTGGCCACACGGGGTCCTGCTGGATGGGGCTACTGGTGCTGCCCCCATGAGGTGAGGCAAGTGTTGGGGTGTGAGTGGCCTGGCTGCAGGGGCCCTGAGGTAAGCTGATGTGGGGCACATTGAGCAGCCACAAGCAAGCAGAAGTGGGCCACCCATACATGGGGGAAAAAATTAAGACAACCCCGAGAAAAAGCCCTAGTGCTTATTTTGGGGCCCAACCTGGTCTTATTTTCGGAGAAACATGGGTAATAATACTGTTGGGATCTTCTGATGTAGGAAAAAAGCAGTTATGTAAAACAGAGATTGGAAAATGCCATCAGCTGACACAATTATCAATATATTTAGAAACTGATTATGTACAACTCATCTTTCTGATGAATGCGAAGCTTTTAAGAAAGTTTTTCTATATTTGCCTGTGGAAATGTAATATATACAATAAAATCTCAATTTAATGAACCAACTTTTAACAGATTTTGCATGCAAGAAACTAAATTGAAATTACACAAAAGTCAGTTCCATGTAAAAATAATTTGGTGGAGGAATTAAAATTTGCAATTAAATTCTACATTAATCATTTGTGGTTATATATTTTATATACATAATTATGTATACTACTGCCTTGAATGGCATGAAGTTTAATAGATATTTGGGAATAACAGATACTATTCCCCCAACTGGTTCATTAAATTGTTGCGTTCTAATTAAGATTTTCCTAAAGAAGAAAGGGTTGAAAACAGATTAGATTCATTTGCCTTGTTTTTATTTCTTGAAGTCCATCATGACCAGCTAAGATGACATTAATATAATTTAGAAAAGTTTTCCTAATCAACTTGATAGTTGTTAACATAAAATAAAATACCTGTGAATCTTCTAAGATCTTCAGTGACATGGCTTCACCCTCAAGTCTTCTATATGAACAAACTGACATATCAGATAATGTCTCCAACAGTGGACTATTTAGGGTTTCTGGCAATAAGAGACTCAGAAAACCAGATAACACACTTGCCACTCCAAACACGATATAAGGCAGACACCAATATATAAGTTTCTGTTAAAAAAAAAAAAAGATTATTTGGGGCGGCAATTATACTTTTCATGTTAATCCCACAACCCGACTACTAAACCTTTGGCAATTTAAATCATTTCTAGATGCTCTGAACTGTGAACCTGGTATCTTCAGTACACCTTAATTGATCCAAAATTATGTATTTTCAATATGTATGTTTCCAATATATATTATATTCAATAATTTCAGTATGTAAGGAATTAGAAGAAAATCAATAAATGATAGTCCACTAATGGGAGAAGATGGCAAAAAGGTGATGGGCAGCAGGGGAAAAGAAAAACTGCTTAATTCCTTCTTCACTTCTACTTTTACGCCAAGGGAAAAACAGCCCAATTTATCAAACACAATACAATAGGAAACAGAAAAGGAATGCAGGTCAAACTACGTAAGAAATTGGTAAGAGAACACCTATCTATTATAAACAACTCCAAATCGCCAGGACCAGATGGTTTACATCCCAGAGTTCTGAAGGGGTTGGCAGATGTGATCTTGGAACCAATGTATCATATATTTCAAAGAACCTAGAGCAGGGGTGGGCTTCAAATAATTTAACAACCGGTTCTCCCTAATGATTGGCTGGAGTGTCTGGAAGGGTAATCTGACTGAGTGGGCTTTATGTCACTCATTTGGTGATGCCTGTATGGGTCAGGTGGGGTTGGGGAGGGAATCCAGGGGTGGGTAGGCAGGAGGAAAGATCCGAGTGTGTGTGTGTGTGGGGGGGTGAGTGGCTGGAAGGCCAGGCACTCCCACAACCTGACCGGCCAGGCAGGTGAGGGCTGGTTGGCAGAGGGCGATTGTTCCTTCGCTCTCAATCCCCAGGGGGAATTGGCTAGGAGCAACTGGGGGCTTGGTCTAGGCTGGCTGGCTGGTGTAGTGGTGGTGGGGATTGCCACTTGGGGGTGTGCTGCTGGGCCTGAGTGCGGCAGGCTGCTCTTGCCTGTGCGACTTCAAAATTAAATGCAGAAATGCCATGGAACAGAGACCCGCTCCAGACCTGCCGCGTTCAGCCAATGGGCTGCGTCGGAGGCAACATGGCAAGGCTTGGCCTCCTTTCAGGCCCAGCTTCGCTGCCGCCCACTCCACCTTCCCCCTCCACCTTGGGTCCTGCGTCCAACCCACAACAGGGCAACTCACTGCTTGCAGGCGAGTGGGCAGGTGATCGTCAGGGGAGAGCGCTGTGCTGGGATGCTATGTTCCTGGATCAGGCGCTTTCTCTTGGGCCTCCCTCACGGAGCCAGGCCCAAAAGATGGCCGAGCCTCAACATGTGTCCCCTCCCCATGGCCCTTTGGCCAAGAGAAGTGGGGCCCCTCCCCTGCTGTCGGCCTTACCTTCTCAGGCCAGGATAAGAGTGTCTGGGAGGCAGCTTGGCAAGGAGTGGAGATCAGTGAAGGCAGGCTCACCAGGGAGAGATCTGGGCCACAAGTGAGGGGAGGGAACGAAAGAGTAACAGCAGCTATGCTGCGGGCATGACTCTAGGCATCAGCCAAAGCGGGTGAGGTGAGAAAAGGAGTGGCGGGCAGGACGGGAGTGGTGGGGTGGGAGGGGCGGGCCAGCCAGTGGTGCGATTTGCCAGTTCTCTGAACTGTGCAAAAATTTAACAACCGGTTCGCCCAAATCAGAGCACACCAGCAGCAGCCCACCCCTGTCCTAGAGCACTGGGGAACTAACAGGGGCCTGGAAAAGAGTTGAAGTGATTCCAGTCTTCAAGAAGGTGGAAAAAGTAGATCTGGAAATGAGAGACCAATCAGCTTGACATCAATACCTGGAAAAATCCTGGAAAAGATAATCAAGCAACAGATTTATGAGCACCTATAAGATTATCACTAGAAGCAGGGGTTTGTTAAATACGTATCATGCCAAATAAACTGTACTCATTTTTTGATAAAGTGACTAAATTAGTGGATTAGGAAAATGCTGTGGATGAAGTTTACTTGGAGTTCAGTAAGGCATTTGACAAAATAGACCATAGCCTACTTCTTGATAAGAGAGAACAATGTAGAATAGACAGCAATTTCACCCGATGGATTTGAAATGATTAACCAATTGCACTCACTCAACTATAACTACATGGAAGAAAGCATGCAATGAGGAGCCTCAAGGTTATGTCTTAGGCCCAGTGTTCTTCAAAAGTTTCATAAATGATCTAGATAAGGGTGTAGAAGTGGCACTTATCAAATTTGCAGATGACACCAAGCTGGGGAGAACTGCCAATACTTTGGGAAATGCAACAAGATGCAGTTCAATGGTGAGAAAAGTAAGGTCTTGCATTTAGGCAGGAAAAACACAGGTACAGAATAGGGAGTACTTGGCTGTGAGAGGGATCTTGGTAATCCTTAAACAATGCATATTGGCAAAAAAAATCAGAAAATAAAATACAAGCTGAATAGATAGACCTTGTTGATGATCCAAACTCTGTCAAGGACCTTGGAATACTCATCTCTAATGATCTAAGTGCTAGAGCCCACTGTAGCAACATAGCCAAAAAGGCATTAAGAGTTGTTAATCTAATCCTACGTAGCTTTTTCTCTGGTAATATCACACTACTAACGAGAACATACAAAACATTTGCTAGACCAATACTTGAACACAGCTCATCAGTCTGGAACCCACATTACGTATCTGATATTAACACAGTTGAGAAAGTCCAGAAATATTTCACAAGAAGAGTTCTCCACTCCTCTACTCGTTGCAGAATACCTTATGCCACCAGACTTGAAATTCTAGACCCAGAAAACCTAGAACAAGCCACCTTCGGTCCGATCTAAGTATAGTATATAAAATCATACATTGCAATGTCCTACCTGTAAATGAATACTTCAGCTTCAACCATAACAACACTAGAGCAAACAATAGATACAAACTCAAGGTAAACAGTACCAAACTTGATTGCAGGAAATACGACTTCAGCAACAGTGTGGTCAATGTCTGGAATACTTTACCTGACTCTGTGGTTTCTTCCCCAAACCCCAAAAACTTTAACCTTAGACTGTCTACTATTGACCTCACCCCTTTCCTAATAGGTCTGTAGGGGTGTGCATAAGTGCACCAACGTGCCTACAGTCCCTGTCCTATTGTTTCTTTTTATATTTCTTATATGTATCCAGTTCATGTATTCATAGCTATGTTTATATTTATACCTATTATCTTGTAAGCGATTGACAAATGAAATAAATAAATAAATAAATGCCGAGACCCTAAGAAAGAATGCAGAAAAGAACAACAAATAAGAGGTCTGGAGGCTAGACCATATGATAAATGGTTAAGGGAACTAGGCATGTCACCATAAGAGATGGGTGACATGATAGCTCTCTTCGTGTACTTAGAGGGGCTGTCACAGAAAAGAAGGGGTTGACTTATTCTCCAAAATACCTGACGGTAGGACAAGAAGCAAAGTGTGGAAGCTCATTAAAGAGAGATCGAAAACAGAATTAATGAGAATCTTCCTGATAGTGAGAAAAATTAATCAGTGGAACAGTTTGTTTCCTGGAGTTGTCGGTATTCCATCACTGGAGTTTTTCAACAGAAGATTGGACAAGAAGACTTCTAAGGTTCTATCCAGCCCTGTGATTCTGTGAAAATTATGCAACACAGATAAATATACAAAACTATACTAGGCAGAATTAAGTTATCTAAAGGACAAAATGGAAGGAAGAGAAGTTGGGGAAAAACTTGATTCTATCTATGATACCTAACTCATGCCTTTGATTTAAAGAGGAAAGTACAATGTAATTCTCACGAAGCAGAATGAACTTTATTCTTTTGCAATATGGGTTGCCTCGAACTGTTTTAGAAAACACACAATGAATCACTGAAAGTTGCAGAAAAACCTTGGGAATAGACTCTCATCATACTTCACACGTTCTAGACTAGAGTTCTTAATCTGGACTCTTTTAGTCTGATGAATCCTATGAAAATTAAATAAAAATGAAAAATGTATCTACTGTTAAGTGCATAAAATAAAAAACACAGATACAGACTACTGCAAAGCAAACTCAAGAAAGAAATAATGATGCAGTCTCAGATATAAACAACCTGTGCTTATAACAAGACCCTCTATGTCCAAATTGATGCAGCAATCATGCCAAGAATAGTTAAGAATGATCTTTGCCTCCATCACCCAAGCAATCAGAGCTTAGAGGATCTTAATATATCAGACAAGTTGCTCTGAAAAATGAATACATTAGATATAATCATGTTGATCCTTCTGTGGGAAAAGGCAAGAACTCTGTCGTGAAGGTTAACACTGCAACCTATTGCTTCATTAGATGTTGCTTTTATATTCTAGTTACTGGCTCCCTCCTGGGTCAGAAGAATAAATAAAGAAATGCTACGTCCAAACTTTGTGGAAGACAGGTCTTACTGAAAATCCATGTCAGGGCTCCAACAAATCCACCCTCATTCAAATCAAAAGTCTCTAGCCGCATCTCAGAGAAAAGAAAATTGATTTATTAGAAGTGGCCATGTTGGTGTTAGCTGGATGCAGCTGATACTAAATTACACCATACATTTCCCCCTTGACCCTGGTCTTCCTCCCACCCCCTGGATGTGACTTCTCCAATGGGACATATCCATCTCCAAGAGTCATCCATCATGCTCTCCAATAACCTTCTTATGCTCCGACAACTTTGGGCTGCCTGGGTGATTATCTAAGCATTTAAGGAATGCCTTGTTTTCCCCCACTCCCTTTTTCTGGCAGCTAAAAAGACCAAAGCAGTGTATTTTTAGTTGACAGTCCACAGTTCAAATGCAATGAAAACAGAGACCAGCAACCAAATGGTAGGTGGCAGGCTTGCAATGGGCAAAGTGGAGTCCAAAAGCTCCAGTAGACCTAGAATGTTCACAGTGTAGGCGGTCTTACATTTTCCCATGGAAAACACCACTTTCCTGCAATATCACCTTGGATTGTCTTTAACTGTCTCAGCAGTGGGTTTGCAATGAGAGCCCATTTTGAGGGCATGTTCTTAGCAAGTGGAGCTACCTCTCTGAGCCAGGACAAGGTGGTTGTGTAGCTGCAGTCCTTATTGTCTCTAAAAACAATACCATAGCAGTACCGTTTCTGTTGCAACAAAACAATTTAAATAAATCTACACATTTGTACTAATCCCATTTGGAGGTGCAATGGTAGGAAGACAATAGAAAAAAATTGAGACATACCAGAGATGGGATGAAAGGAGCAACAATTCCACCAACTCGGGAAAACATAGAACAGGTTCCCATTCCAACATTCCTTTAAGGAAACAAAACACAATGATAGTCATGTGAAGGTTTCTCTTCCAATTTAGGGTTGGAGTTATACTTCTAAATCCAAGAAATCTAAGAATTCTTAGAAGTTTAAAATAATTATTTGAGGGCATGATTATTTTAAACATTTATGATAATTGTACCACTGGAAATCCCAGAGCTACACAAAGCTTTGAAAGCCTTGAGAGAAAGGGAAAAAATTCAACCAGCAATAATGTCAATGACATTTCAATTCAATTCAGAATAGAACTGGAAGAGACCTTGGAGGTCTTCTAGTACAGCCACCTGCTCAAGCAGGAGATCCTATACCATTTCAGACAAATGGCTGTCCAGTCTCTTCTTAAAAACCTCCAGTGATGAAGCACCCACAACTTCTGAAGGTAAACTGCTCCACTGGTTAATTGTCATCACCATTAGGAAGTTTCTCCTTAATTCCAGGTTGCATCTCTCCTTGATTCCCGCCCCCCACCAGCCCACAATCCATTGTTTCTTGTTCTGCCCTCTGGTGTTTTGGAAAATAAGTTGACCCCCTCTTCTTTATGATAGCCCCTCAAATTCTAGAATAGTGCTATCATATCACCCCTAGTCCTTATTTTCTCTAGACTAGCCATACCCAAACCATCCAACTGTTCTTCATATGTTTCAGTCTCTAGGCCTTTAATCATCTTAGTTGCTCTTTTTCCAAAGTCTCAATATCTTTTTTCTAATGTGACCAAAACTGGATGCAGTATTCCAGGTGTGGCCTTACTAAGGTTTTATAAATCACGTGATTTTGATTCTATGCCTCTTGTTTATACAACCATTATAGGGTCCACTGTTCAAGTCTGTCAAGATCCTTTTGGATCCTGAGCTTGTCTTCTGGAGATTCCTGCCAGTTTAGTGTCATCTGCAATTTGGATGAGTTCCCCTTCTCTATTCCTTCACCTAAGTCATTTATGAAGATATTGACGAGTACTGGGCCTATTTAATTTTACATACATTTAAATTAAATTGGATTAAGTCATGAATTTAATTCTAAGCGAGATTGTTCTGGCCTTGTATAAATTCAAATAAAAAATAAGCAAGCAAGTTTGAAAATCAGGACCATTTTTTTTCTAGCCTGAAAATGTATTCTATTCCTTGACCCAAGATTACTTCAATTTAGCCTACATACACTCTAATTAGGTCAATACCTACTAAATATTTTAAACAGATTATTAGATACTAAAAAAAATACATCAGGCAAGTCCAAAATTTTGTCCAATGCCTAATTGATTATATATATTGTTTCTGAATTTAATCTCTAATTTCATTGTAGCTTTTTATAATCCAATTTTGTTTACCTTATATTTTCCTCTTATTTTCCGTTCGCCGCTGTCATACTCTTAAGCAAGGGCTCTTTCTTTCTGCTTCTCAGGGTTATTTTAAAAAAAGTTCAAGTTCTTTATTCTGGTTTACATGTAGCTCACCACTTCACTGCTCTAGCACATCCTTAGGTCCCAGCAGCTTTCTGTCTTCAGGGTAGCCATTAACTGCTGTTTCTCCCTGTCTTCCAGGAGAGTTAATACCTAGCCAGGGAGGGAAGATGCGGCTCCCCTCAAACCAGCTGGCGGTCTCCCCCTCTTCCCCCACCCCTCCGAGGTGGGTCAGATGGTTCCAGTCCCACAGGGACCCTTCCAACAAGCACAGATCAAAGCCGCACACAATTGCGGTCTCTGATCCGTCTTCAATGGAAACGCCACCGGAAATCCCAATGCTTGTGTGTTTTTAGGAGGTGGTGAATTTTGGCGGGTGGGGGGGGTGTTTGGGGATTGTCATTTGTGTGTGCATGTTGGATCTGGTCTGGATGTTATGTGAATTTCATTGTATGTATACTGTGTATATACATACAATGACAATAAAAAATTTAAATTCAAATAATATACAAGTTCTAATGAGCAAGAACTCTAATCTTGTTGATTTGCTATCCCTCTGCTGAATGCGAGACTCTAAGAATGGAGTTCTATCTCCACAAAAACAGAATGGATAAGTGATCACAGAGTTACATTGTTACTACAAACCAAACTTGACTTACCTGATAACGGTAGGATAGAGTTCTGATGTGTAAATATACACAATGTTAAAGGCTGAACTGATAGTCAGCTTTCCGAGTAAAGACAAAGAACGGTTGTTCACAACTGCAAATATTCCAGTAGCTGTTGGAACAAGAAATAATGACTTTTAGAATTATGTTGATCCCAGAATCAAATCAAATTTAGGCACCGTCCTTCATCTCTCCAGGTAGTTCCTATGCAAAGTACTCACACCACTGGTCCCATCTCTCTGCTGAGCTCCTGACATCTTCTTTATGGACTACTTTTATTTGTATTTATGTGATAGGCTACCATTGACAGAACTAAATAAAATCATATAACCTTAAAAACACACATAAATTTTTTTTGTTTAGTCAAGAAAAAAACATTTTATAATACTGTGTTTCCCCCAAAATAAGACCCGGTCTTATTTTCTTTTCACCTCCGAAATAAGCACCAGGACTTATTTTCAGGAGAAGTCTTAATTCTTTTTGCCCGATCCTTCAGGGCAGCTCAGGGTCCCAAAGAAGCCAAAAATGGCGCTTTGGCTCTGGCCTCTGCTGCTGCAAAAGGCATTGCTGGTGCTCTCTGATCATGCTCGAGGCCAGCAAGCAGCCACGGTTGGAGCCACAGCTGCAGCTTCTTCCTGCTTTAGCTTTGCCCTCAGCCAGGAGCAGGGTGTTTGTGACGAAATGGTGGGTGAATTCGCTTGCGAGGTATTCGCTGATAGCCTCCCAACTCTGGCAAATTTAGGAAATATTTTTACTGGAGAAAAGAAAGTGTGACTGCTGCCTGTCCTGTGTTTCCAGGCTATGAGATTCATAGTTCAGGGATAACCAGTGCACTCTTAGAGAGGTATATGTTGGGACCAGCTCCACATTAGATTATCTCTAGTTTCCATAATTAAATAAATCCTTTTACCTTTCTGTTGTGGAAGGAACATGACAAGGAGAGAGGCTAGTCCTCCTAGAAACAAAAACGCAGCAAGTGTCCGTTTACGGCCAAACCTGATAACCAGAAGGAAATGAAAACAAAAAAAAAGGCAACATGGGGAGAAAGTAACAAATGTACTTGATTTATATCCTGTCTTTTTTGTAAAAGGACCTCAGGATGGCATACATGTTTATTTAATTCCTATCCCATCTTTAGTTTGTACAACTTAAAATGGTATGTATAACGGTGCCACCTCCTATTGCCCCAGAAGAACCCAGTGAGAATGACTGGCCCAAAGCCACTTGGCAAGCTTCTGTGGCTGAGAATGATGGGTCTTGCTCCTGTTCCAACACCCTAACTACTACATCATAGTAATGCTTATAAATATATACTCTAAGCAGCTATATCTCTAAGGCAGAAAGTCTAACGGTATATATTCATGTAATGTCTTTCTCTTGCTTTTCAAATGGCAGCTGTTCTCAAAACAAGCCAAAAACATGAATGAGATACAGCTTAAAATAGCAGAAATCAACAGAAGTGAAAATCCCTCAAACAGTCTCTCTGGATTTAAATTTTAACATTCTTCATAAAAACCAAAATTCAGAATAATATTGATAAACTAATTAAATTTTGATAAATTAGTAAAATTTCACTAATGTAGGTTTTAGTTAGCAACTCAGATCTTCTAAAATGAAGTAATATAATCAGAAAGACTTTCCATCAATTTTACGTACATGTGACTGCAATCCTGCTGGATCTTTTATATTTTACTAGCTTTCAGCCATACATGTTACACCATGCTGTCTTAGGCACTATTATATCATGATGCCATGAGATGAGGACAGTTTGAGGATCTATTGATTTTGGCATACCTGTGCTGATTTCTACTAATCACTACAGTGAACTACAGAAACTTTCCAGATAACGCATTTGCAGTTCTCACAATGATGCTTCATTTTCTTGTTAGATAAAATGTATTTTACACACCTTTCTATTTTACCAACATGTTTAGAAATATCATTAAAATAGGATAGAAACTCTTTTATAGCCTGTTGCATTGATTAGGCTTCATAACTAGAATTTCAGTTCACTAATATTCCCCAATCATTTATTCCAGTTGCCAAAATTTACAAAGAACACTGAAATGATGAAATGAGACAACTACAAAATATGGGTCTAGAAACTTGCACTATTGCAAGACTCATGTTCTTGATCTGTCCTAAAGAAGAGCCATTGGTAGTGCAGTAGTTAGAATGCAGTACTGCATGCTAATTCTGCTGACTGCCAGCTGCCTGAAATTTGACTGTTCGAATCTCACTGACTCAAGGTTGACTCAGCCTTCCATCCTTCCGAGGTGGGTAAAATGAGGACCCAGATGGTTGGGGGCAATATGCTGACTCTATAAACTGCTTAGAGAGGTCTGTAAAGCACTGTGAAGCGGTATATAAGTCTAAGTGCTATTGCTATTTTTATTTTTGGATAAGCATGTGCATATATTCACACATGAGGATTGAACATACAGGAAGACCTTGACTTACAACCATTCATTTACTAACCATTCAAAGTTACAACAGCACTGAAAAAGTGACTTATGACTATTTTTCACATTTTCAAGTATTGCAACATCCCCATAATCTTATGAACAAAATTCAGACACTTGACAACTGGCTCATATTTATGATGGTTGCAGTGTCACGGTGTCATGCAATCACCTTTTGTGACCTTCTGACAAGCAAAGTCAATGGGGAAGCCACTTAACAACTGTGTTACTATCTTAATATCTATGGTAAGAAAGATCATAAAATAGAGCAAAACTCAATAACTGACTTACTTAGCAACAGAAATTTTGGGCTCAATGCAGTCATAAGTTGAGGACTACCTGTATTAAACTGGAGAATGTGTATTTTCCTGCTCATTTCTTTTCAAAAAGGAAAGCCATGCCAATTATTTGGTGATGGGATCTTCAGTTGATACAAACTCAGGGGGTCTCCAAAAAGGGATGTGGGGGATGTATAGTCAATGGGATGTGCTTGGTCCATCTCATTATAAATAAAACCTGTCTTTCATGCTAAATGCATAAACTGAATGTGTAGAGATGCTTATATATGACCCCATGGATTCATGTTCTTGATCTGTCCTAAAGCAAATGCCTGCATAATCTATATGTAACATCTATTCAAAACTCACCATTTCTGGCTTATCAAATAGACACAGAGTGGGTATGCAGGAATCTCTATTAGACCAGAAAGAGCCAAATTAGCATAGATACTGCCACCAAGATCACCCACGTTGAGAGTAAGACCATAATAAACCAAGCTGCATACAAACCTAGAGGTGGCAAAAAACACATTTTAATCATAACACACTTTAATATCCTCTGTATAAAATAACTATAAACTTGAAAGCAAACAAATGTGTTATGCCTGACCATTTTCTACAATTTCCAGAAGACAGACAACTGGAGCCGCTGTGGTGCATTGATGAGAATGCAGTATTGCAGGCTGACTCTGCCCACTGCCAAGAGTTTGATTCTGTCCAGTTCAAGGTTGCCTCAGCCTTCCATCCTTCTGAGGTCGATAAAATGAGGACCCAGATTGTTGGGGACAATATATTGACATTGTAAACAGCTTTACAATTTTACATTGTAAAATGCTTTACAAACTGCTTTTTTTGGTCCTTGAGAGGCAGTTTGTTAGTGGTAACAATAGCAACAATATTCTCTACTATTCTTTTGGCTTGTGTTTTGTATTTGATCCTCCTATTTTGCTTTTAACAGTTTTGAACTGTTTATTCTATACTGATCTTTGAACAAAATAAAGTTTGGCTGACTAACTATAATATCATAATTAGGTACTAATGGTTAGTACCTAACCATTAGTACCTAATTATAGGTAACATCATGGTTAGCTGTTAGGCATGGCAAAGTAAAATGGTATAAAATAACCGTTTCACAGTATTTTATATATGTATAACTTTTCAGAATTTTGGAGTGTGTGTGTGTGTGTGTGTTTGTGTGTGTGTTTGTGTGGATGTGTAGTATATCATACCATCATATTTGTCATTTTCAATTGATCAGAGCCTTCTCTGTCAATATATGAAATGGCTCCATTTTGTGGCACTTAGGACTATATCTCATGTACACTCAAATCAATTTGACTTTAGATACCTGTCCTATCTTGAACATATATGCTAAGGATTGGCTCTGGGTGCACATTTAAGTTTAGGCATAGAAATGTAAAGGTTTTAGGAGGCAAATCCTCATCTTCTTCTCTACTCAAAACATAACATGACCCCAAAATCATACTGCTAAAATTCAGTACCAAAAATGATCAAATTTAGCAGTAAGCTGATTGGAAAGAAGGAGGTATTGTCATTGAGAATTTAAAAGGATTGATATGCCTCCAAAAGACCACCAGACTGCTTCTGTCTTGATTTGAAGTGTACTAATCTTATATGCAATAAGAAATAGCAAATTATGATGAATTACAATCTAATTAGCATTATTACACTTCAATGTTTTCCATGGCAACATGGCTGAAACAAAAATATTTACACAATAAATTACCATCTTTAGCATTGTCTACATTATATTCAAATCCACTCAGAAGTTTTGCCACAACTCTTTTCTTAAGTAAATGGTTTCAAACTAAGAACTACAGAGACAGTAAAAAAAAAACAATAAATTACAACAGTCCCCAAATCACTACATTATTTTATGACATATTTCAGTAAATAGAAAGCAGCACTTCCAAGATAATTTTCAAAAAGTGGTTTATATACCAGATGAACAGCATGACCAGAGTACGTCCCAAAAGGATCTTATTTCGGAATAGATCCATAATACTACAAGACTCCTTACAGCTCCATGCAGTTGGAAGTTTAAGTGAAAAAGTGCACTTGGGCTTGTAGTTTCTCTTTGCAATGAGGTAGAGAGAATCTTCAGCTTCATGGAGCCGACCTTGTGAATATAACCAACGAGGTGACTCAGGAATGCACCTAGAGGAAAAGAACCATTCATTGAGAGCACTAAAGATATTTTACTACTGAAAACTTCATGCTGGTGCACTTATTATGCACATATTTTAAACTAAAAGTAAGCAACATCTTATGAATAAACGTGAACAAATTTGCAAATATGCAGCACTTGAACTCCAGCATGCAACTGTTTTAAAACATTTAAAGAAATATGTTTAACATGCAAATCCAAATTTTGAACATTTCATGCAGTATGAAAGCAAGAAGACAGAAACATTGGATATTACCACAGTTTGTTCAAATATAATCAAACCATGGATGTAGCACAATTAATCTTCAGGGGGTTTTCAGATCTGCCTGATGGGAGATCATTTTTATTAGTAGCTCTATTAATAATATTTGTAAATTTTAGTTGTTTGATTTTTATGAATATTTACAAATTATTTTGTTCACTGTAAGCCACCTATAATTGTGAGAAAGGGTGACATACAAATGTTGATGCTCAGTTCAAAAAACATTTCAACAATATAGAAATGGTTGATCATAAATTTAACCATTCCTAATCAGAACTATCTCTTTTTCTTTATTTCATTCCCCCATTTAAGCAACTTTGTCAGGGTAATGATGATTTAATAGCTGACCAACTGCTGTAATGCTGTAAGGATGATGCAATGGTAGTGATGAGTCAGCAGGGTTATTTGACTACTACCACTTTAAGAGACTGTAATATAAGAGAGATCCTGTGAGGGCATATCTTTTTCTCCATGTGTGCTTCCGTAGCTGATTACTGATTGCTTTTTTTTTCAAGGTACTGTATCAAAGTACTTGTTTATATATATGCTTTGGTAGGGATAAAACCACTATATGTAAATACAAACCGGTGTGCTGTATTTGCTCCCCGGTTGTCTCACCTAGTCATACTGTGTACTCTGACAAATTTAAAGTTCAGACAGATTCAAAATTAAATAACAAATATATAGAATACATTTTTTCAAAAATTCTCCCAATAAAGTTTCCATTCTATTTACCAGGAGCTTTTATAAATTTAAACTTGAAGTAAGAAGAAATTAATTCATTTCTTCTGAATGCAAACTGCTTAAGTAAACTACTAGTTTTAATTCAAATGTTTAAATTTTATCCTTTCATTACATTAAGAATGAAAAAGGGATGAAGGTTGCTGCTCTCAAACAAAGATAAGCAAATTTTTCTTTGGACTGAGCTTTGAAAAACAAAACAAAACAAATACTTGGAGGTTTTTAGAGTAATATAGCGTAGTGAGAAAAAGCTAAACTCGGATTTTGTTGGCTTCATTGACACATCCATGAAATTTTCTTGGCAGCATTACACAAGTAGTTCACCTTTGCCTTTTTCTGGGAAGTTATTTTCATTCAAGTTCAGATTCAGATATTTCCAGTTTCCCATCCAAGTACTTGGCTTAAACCTGTTTAGATTCTTTGGGGGGAGGCAACACACACAGAGAGACTAAGACACATACCGTCTTATTTAAGTTATTGCAAGAAGTGTTTGAGATGTGTTTGTGTATGTGCACATACTTCTGAAGGAAGTCTTTCTCCATCTCTTCTTTAAAGTCCTCCCCCCTCCCTTAGACTTTGGTGGATTTTTATCTTTTTTTTTTACTGGTGGCCCCTTGGAGAGTGGAGAGAAATCCCTGACAATTGAAGATATGTAAAACCTGGGCCCTGAGTGTTTCAGGAGAGGATTAAACCCAACCCAAGCAGCAGAGTGGGAAGGGCAAAGGCTGGGGCTGTCAACTCATAAAGCATTCCTGGCCTGCTCTCCAGTTACCATAGAAAGGAGGGGAGGGGAGAACTGATGGAGTAGCTTGGTTGCTATGACCAGAAGCACATTCCACGCATACCTTTCTTCAGATTGTATTCCAGGTTATTACAGTCAGCCGGAGAGCCCTCGAAAGTGCTCTGTTGGAGAATGTGATTTATGACACACACTGGGAGGAGGGGAGAAACAGAGTCATAGGTGGGCAGTAAATTACGTGGGACAGAGCTGACTGCACTTGGGAAAGTGTCAACATGTTGCTCCTAATAAATAATTGGATTTCTTTTGAAACTTGGCTCAAGGATCATGAATTAATTAGGGCATCTGTTAGAACCCTGACAGGGGGCAAGCTTTGCCACTGTAGAAAAGCCACCAGTGGGAGGGAAAAAGTGCTCCCACTTGCCACTTGCTGGGTGATTAGGTTGCTGTTTAATTGTGGCCGCTCAGAAAATGGCACCCACTTCTGGGACAAAGCCAAGTCCAGTGGCCCAGGGACACTGGGGAGGGGGGTGGCATGGCATGACTGGTAGCAGAGATGGGTGGATATAAGACATGTGGCCAGTGGAGGATAGGGGGAAAATGGAGTGGTGGCACTGCAGGGTCCCTGTGGTCCGTTGTAAGGACAAATGACTGTAGTCATTTCAGTCGTTATAATTTTGAAACAGGCTATGTAGCTTGGGAGGGGGGGCTGTTCTCACTTTGAATGGTGGTTAAGTAATCTCAGTTCTCTGTTGTATCTCAAGGCTTCAGATTCCTACCAGAACAGCTGGTATCTTATGAAATCTGGAAACAGAAACTAACTTGCATGAATCAAACTTGATATAACAAACAAATAAACAAAAAAAAGAGTAGATTCAACACAAGAACCTGTGAAGACAGGCTCACCCTAGACAGAGTTAATAGTAGCAGTGTTGCACATGGTACAGATAACCACTTCTTGGCTTTTGTTTCTAGATTCAAGACAGTATACTTTAGGAGTAACAGTGGAAACTATTTAAAAGGAGAATTATTAAGACAAAGAAATTAAGAAAATACGAAGAAAAGACCCAAAATTATCTTCAAGTATAGAGAAATTAGTATGGAAGAGACTGAAAAGACAAACAGCTATTCTTTTTATTCAGTGACAAATGCTTCCCATATTTTAGCAAAATAATGTAGGTATATAACTTACAGACAAAGGAGAAAGATTAGCACTCCCTCCAGATTAACCACCGCTGCTAATAATCTCCAGGAGCGAATGAGATATCCTAACAAAGCATATTGAGCAATTCCCACAGCAAAGAAGAGGCAACCAAGTGATCCTATTATAATGCAGACAGGGAAAAAGTATTATTGATTATTTTGTAGTGACTTCTAAAGTGATGCTTTAATAGACAAGCAGACAAGACTACGTGAACAAATATGCAGAGATAAAGAACATTCAAAACTCTGAAAAGTGGTAGATGCCATCCAAAAAGGCTGTTATAGGGATATTCCAACATTCAAAATGCTTGACATATACATAACATATTGTTGGGAGGGGGAGAGAAAATTATTTATTACAATATGAACCAAAGCAATTTAGATCTAATACAGAGTTTCTTTCTTAAAATCCTAAGCCACTGAACACTGGGCTTCCAGCCAACCAGACCAAGAGGCCAGACTGTAAGCTGGCAAAGGATTATAGGAGATAGCCAAGCTGCATGAAAAGTAAGAAATAATTAAATACATTTGCACAGGCAGGGAAAGCCCCTAGTTTTATATTAGCAATAATCACCCATATGCAGAATTTGAGGTTGGCACCTTCATCTTCCTTTCACCCTGATCTACATTCCTTCACTATGGTAAGAGTAACCCTTTTTTACATCCTGTCCTGACAATCTTTCACTTTGTTATCTGGCTTCTGCTCCTTTTCTCAGGGTCAGTTCAAAGGACAACCTGAAGGACATCCTGAACTCCAACAATTCATAAAATCATAGGGCTGGAAGAGACCTCGGAGGTCTTTTAGTCCAACCTCCTGCTCAGTGCAGTAGCCTTATACCATCCCAGCCAAATGGTTGTCCAGTCTATTTTTGAAAACCTTCAGTGATGGAAAAACCACAACCCCAGGAGACAAGCTATTCCACTGATGAATTGCTCTCTGTCAGAAAAATTCTCCTTACTTCTAAGTTGGATCTTTCTTTAACAAGTTTCCACCCACTACTTCTTGTCCTGCCCTCTGGTGCCCTTAGAGAATAAATCAATCCCCTATTCTTTGTGACAACCCTGATAGTACTGGAAGCTATCATTCCCCCCACCCCAATCCTTCTCTTCAATAGATATACCTAGCTCCCTCAACCATTCACCAAACAATTTTTGAACCAGACCCTTCATCATTTGTTGCACTTCTCTGCACACTTTCCTGGGTGTCAACATCTTGTTTTGCATCATGATGACCAGAACTGGAAGCAGTATTTGAAGTGTGGTCTCACCAGCGCAATGTAAAGTGGTACTATCACTTCTCATTGTCTTGAAACTATCCTTCTTTTGATGCAGCCTAGGATTACATTGGGTTTTTTGGAAGCTACAGCACACAGCTAGCTCATACTTAAGTGGTTTCTATTAGTACACCTAGATCCCTCTCACAGCAACTTATGTTGAGCCAGGTGCCGCCTATTCCAAACCTGGGGCTTTTTACAGCGGGTCTATGACAATTCGCCACAGCCAACTTTTCAGTGAACTCGCCACAGCCAACTTGCCATGGCCAACTTGTTGCGGTCAACTCACTGCGGGACAAGAGTTACACTGATATGAAAGAAATGGTAGAATAGAATCATTAAAGAAAGGATGCAAAAGGGTCAGAATGAAATGTGAATGACAAAAATTAAAATCTTTTTAAATTTATTTTAAATAGTTGCATTAAATTGTTTAATTGTCCTGCAGCGAGTTGTCCTGAGGCAAGTTGTCCCATGGTGAGCTGGCCATGGCAAGTTGCCTGCAGCAAGTTGTCCCGTTCCATTTTATGGCTCCCACGGTCACATATACACCTTTGGCTGTCCCTGTCCAGCCTGCATACTATAAGTCAATTGGAAATTAGAAATCAAATGTAAATAAGTATACATCATGCATACAATACAACAACATTGCTTTTTTTTTGGAGACTAATTTTTTTCAATTTACTGTATTCTTTATATGTCCTACATTTGTATATTAAACAGTCCCATTCAAGTCAAAAATTGATTTCCCACACACCTGAAAAACCAGTAGGCCAGAGATGGGGAACCTTTTACGGCTCACTCAGGAATTCTGGGAGTTGAAGTCCATATGTGATAAAAGAGCCAAGTTTCCCTACCCCTGACTTAGAATAAAAATCAGACCATAATTCAGAAAACCTATTTTTGAACTCCACAATGAATAGACAAACTAGAAAACAATTTGCCCAGGAAACTGACCATGATTCAAAAAGGAAGTGTATGACTCCCAAAGCAGAACAGTTTTTCTTTGAATTAGCTTTAGCTCCAATAGAATTTTCAATCCATATGCCAGTCAAGTCAATTCCAAATCTCTCTTCACTGTATCAGTTAATTCAACTCTCCCAAATCTCTCATTTTAAGGGAGTTGTTTTGTCCCAACCCATCTGTATAGAGCAGGCCTGTCAAACTGGCCACCCACAGACTGGATGCGTCATGTGCAAGCCACAGCCACTCTGGCTCCAAAAAGGCAAAAGATGTTGTGTTATGTCATGTGACGCAATCGAGTTTAACACCTGTGGTATAGAATATGCAAGCAACCTAGAACACCTTTCTTCTTCAATCTCTCTATATCTAAATCAGTCTCAATCCGTCATGATTCCAACTCCCTACCCACATTTTCAATCTCCCCACTTTTCTGTCATGATCCTGACCTCCTGTTTCCCATCCATTCCTTACAAGCTCATGGCCCAACCCACTCTATTTTCTGTCTTTTCTACATTTGTTTCAACAGAGATAGAAACAAACAAGCACTGATCCTTTTTCCCCTTACCAAGCAACAAAACATTTCATATTCAATCAGAATGAAAACAGCCAGCTGCACTGAAGGCCCAACTAGCAGGAGGAGGAACAGTACTATACAAACATTTTTGGCAATTTTTTAAAATTTAAAATTTTCAAAATTCAAAAATTTAAGCAACTTGTTATGTAGGACAGATAACATAGTTGTCAGGCTACAGAACTTTTCCCATTCAATCAACTAGAATGAACTTCTGAAAACGTATCAAAACGTATCAAAAAGGAATCCTTTATTGAGATGAGACAATTCACGTAGGGGTTAAAAGCAGCATCTAAGGTCTCTCAGGCATGCAGACATAGATAAGGGAGTTTAAAACCCCTCCCCTTATCTTGATGTGTATTTAGTAAAACAAAGAGCCAACATGTTTGTTCCCCCCCACCCCCTTTTTAGAACGATCTTTTTCAGAGTTTCCCAGGACACATCTCACTATGGAATTTTTATGGTCTCTTCATCTCCTGGCTGTCTCTCTCAGAGGTGATAGATTCCAGCCATCTGGGTTTTGTATCATGTGTAGGTTATACAAATTCGATATAAGATTTATTGTATATTCAGGTTACATCAAGAAGGATTTCTTTATCAGTCTCCCTCCCCTTTCTTCTTCCATTGAAGAAATGACAGATACACAGATCTGACATCAGTATCCACAGATATATTGGCATAGAGGACAACCAGAATGAACTAATTAAATAAGATAAACACTTAAACCATGATTATAGATATTTGCTTTTATACTCAATAATTAAGAATAATTTGCCATTAACAGACAGAAACGAGTGGGTAAAATTATAATTTTACACCAAACTGATGCCTGACATGTTCTGAAAATTCAAACATCTCTTGAGAAGTAAGAATTAGGAGGATACACATAGGTTTTAAGATAAATCTATTAGAAAAATAATGTAATATATTATAGTTTCATTGCAGACTTATTAACATCATTAACATATTTTATTTTTTAAATTAAATAAAAATATCTTAATTTAAAATAGTCAAAGAACTACATCATAAAATATATTTTAGGAGAAATATAACTAGTCATTTCTAATAATTTATTATTGTATAGTTTCTGTTCTTAGTAGATACTCCAACTTCAGAACTACGTTTCAAAATGTTCTCAAGATAAAATTTAACCACACTAAAATTAGACTGCCACACTAAGGGAAAAGGTGGACTTCTACATAACAAGAATTTTTAAAAACGGGGAAAAAAGAAACAAAAAAAGCCAGTTCTCAAAAAATAAATAACAATCTCAAAATAAAGTACAACCTATCTGATTCTTCCAAATATATTACCGTAAACATTTATTATGGACTGAGCTCATATGGGATTCTTCAAAAAAGCAGGGCTCAGGCTCCTAGGATTAAAGTACTAGGAGACAGGAGGAAGGAAGAAAATGGAAGACAATTAAGAAAAGAATTGGAGCAGATAGCTTAAAGTCAAGATTAAAGATTAAGATCAAAAACAGAACAAAGGCGGGTGTGAAAAATGCAATGAGAACAGCAGTGGGTATAAGTTAAGACAGAAACAGAAATAAGCCTCAGAGATGGGAAGGAACATGCACCTTCAGAGAAAATGAAAACAGAATGGCCCACATAGAACTTTACTACATTTAACTTAAACCAAATCTGCCATTCCCAAATAGCACTTTGGCAAATCTGCTATAGCGATGGGTAGAATCATACAGTATTTATTACATGCAGATGTTACGTGTGGTCCTTGTTTAACGACCACGGTTCAGCAATTGTTCAAATTTATGACAGCACTGAATAAGAGATAGTTCTCAGAATTTTGGCAAACAAAGCATGCCAGAGTTATGTGATTGCAATTTGCAATCTTCCTACTGGCTTCCCACAAACAAAGTCAAAAGGGAAGCTAGGGTCACATGAAGTCCTTGCTTAATGACGCATAAGCATCTCACTTAATGACCACAACTAGAACTGCTAAAATGTCTGTTAATAAATGGTACAATTAGGTGGACGATATACATTACCACCTTGTCATAGTGAGGGAGCTCTCTAATGAAAGTGATGGAGACAGAAACATAAGCTTCTAGATTGGATCACCCTCATTGGCAAAAGGGCAGGAAGAAGAAAACAGCAAGACTCTACAGAGACACAGAGTATTCAATAGGGAAGGAAATGAAAGAGCTCTCAGTCAAGAACTCCAAGAAGAAGAGTGAAATATGGAAAATGAGATACATGGTTATGATCAGAAAAATCAAAGAAAAACCTTATACTAAGGTATGGATACATGAACAATCACACATCTATAATAAAGGCAAATGGAAAGACTATACTGAAACATTTACAAGCAGGATTCAAGAATAATAAGACCATCTGAAGAGAAAATCTATTCAGAAACCAACTCCACTAGATAGTAAGGGGACAAACCAGGTGTCAAAAAGGGAAATGCCAGGTATAAATTAAATGCCCATTGAGTTATTTAAAACTGCAAGAAAGATGGCAATTAAAGTATTAACTATTCAAATTCAACAAATATAGAGCCCAACTAATCTGTTCTGAAGAGGTACTGACTATTCTTCTGAAGGCAATGATTAGCAAGCATAAACTCACATACTTTGAGTGTGTCATGTAAACAGATGGTGTACTAGAAAAAAGTTTGGCAAATTTGAGATTAGAAGATGTGGACAATGGTTCAGGTAGATAGATGTAGATCAAGGATATCAAACTGGCGGCCTGCGGGCCGGAAGTCCTGCAGGCTGGATGCGTTACGTGCAGGCCACGCCCACCCCAGCTCCGTGAAGGGAAATGTTTTTGCAAAACGTCACGTGAAGGCAATGTGACACCACGAGACTGACACCCATGATGTACATACTGTAGATTGGATCAGAGGTATCACTGATGGATGAGCTGCAGATTATCACTCAGAATAGGATGAATAGAATATGAAGCATTATCTATATTGTTACCAGGAATTGAGCTTGACTCGATGGCACCTGACTAAAAGTACATGTATATTTGAAGGATTTTTTTTAAAAAAATCACAAACTATTTACAGACTGAGAGAAGCTAAAGCTAATCATATCTCATACAGGTCATTCCTGGGCCCAGCAATACAGTATCAGACAATTTCCATCCAATCTCCAACTTCCTTTTTGGGGGAAGGTTGCTGAGAAGGCAACCTACTTGCAACTCTAAGGGCTCTAGAGGAAGGGAGTTATCAGGAACCACTGCAGTCAGATTTCACATCAAGATAAGAACTAAGAGGGCACAGGACACCTTCATGGATAACCTCTGGAAGACCCTGAATGGGGCAGTGTATCAATTCTGGTCATCCTGATACCTCAATGCTTTTAATAGCATTGTTCATGGTAGTTGGATCAGTTCAGTGGGCTGGGAGCAGGAAATCATGGTTCTCCAGTGATTCTCCTCTTTTTGGAGGTGGATCCCAGTCAGTGTAGGAGGAAGACAAAGATCCAGTCATAGGCCTCTGCTTTGTAGATACCACAGGCTCAAACTCACTCCCAGCTCTTATTTAACATCTATATAAAGCTTCTGGGTGAGGATATCCATCAGCCCAGAATCAAACAACATGATGACACAAGTATGAAATTAACATTATAGACAAACTACTTGCTAATTTCTTAACATGAGAAATAGCTTTTAAGTATTACTGAACTATCTTGAATATTTGCTACAAGAGTAAATCTGAAAGATCTAACCATTAAATTTGTACCTGCCAATGCCCAATAAGCAGTTCCCAAACATTCATTCAACAGGACAAAAGCAACCAGTGACATTCCACCATTCATTACTCCAACCAAGAAACGAGAGACTGCAAAAAACTCATATGTAGGAGAAAATCCATTAGCAACAGCAAATACAACGTCAAGGCCAAAACCTAGAAGAGAAAGAAAAAAAATCATTTAGAACTATTTGATAAGTGTTTAATGCTGGTTTTATTGCCCACCCCCCAAATCAAGCATGCTTATAAAACAAAATTCTTTAGTATTAAAATGTATTGAGTTACTCAAAAACAGTGAATTACTAATCTCAGTTCTGAATGAAAGTATATTGTTTCAGATTAACTTTTAAGAAAATTCACATGACCCACTTTGTGGAAAAAGAAGAAAAAAACTTTAAAGACCACATTTGATTAAAACTAAAAATGTTTGATGTTTAGAAGTGTTTTAAATACCTTTTGATTGAACTATGAAGCCAAATATAATTATACAATCAATATTTATCTCCTGTCTTATACAGGTAATCCTTGATTTACCATGTTTGGGATCGTAATATCTGTTGCTAATGCAGTTGTAAAATGTAACACCACGTGACCATATCACACAGCAACAGCAATCCCAGCACTCCTCGTTGCCATCATTAAACAAATTCTACTAGTCATTAGGTGAGGACTCACTGCAATCAAAGCCATCCTGGGCTAGTTTCCTCCTAGTCAAAGCCTTGGCTTTTCTAAGGTAAGAGACTGACTCCCCTTTAACTCTCCCCAATTGTCTATTCCCCCCCATCTCTGTCCTTTCGGTTGCTCTGCACCCTGCCTTGTAGAATGGCAAGAGCTACAGAACCATGCAGCTTTGCACTGGTGGAGTTGAGATGGCTGCTTACAACGTGAGGTTTGAGGCAGCATTTCTCAGCAGCAGTGGTGGCAATGGGGTTGTAATAGAGGTTTGGGGGCAGTGGCAGCCAGACAAGACTGGTGAATGACCCAGGCCTCAACTTCAACCCCAACCTTAACACTGATGCCAAGGAGTGTCACTATGCAAGGTGGCAAAAAAGGCATAGATGTGAAGATAAGCAGGTGGGCAAAGTTGTAGCACTTCTGCGGTTATAGTGTGGATGGGCTGCCAAGTGGCTGAATGTTGATCATATGAACAATGGAAGTGCTGCAAAGCCATAGTTTCAGTCATAAATCTCTTTGTTCAGAGTCACCATAATTTTGAATGGTCATTAACCAAGGACTATCTAGAGTGATTTCCATTTCTACACATTAGAAATCACTCATTTGATCTGAGCTGGATACTCCTGAGTAACAATATTTATAGAATCATACGACTGGAAGGGATCTTGGAGGTCTTCAAGTTCAGCCCCCTGCCCATGGCAGGAGATCTTATATCATCCTAAACAAATGGCTGTTCAATTTTTTTCTTGAAGACCTCCAGGGACAGCGCACCCACAACTCTGGGAGACAAGATGTTCCATTGGTTAATTGTTCTCACTGTAAGGAAGTTTCTTCTTAGTCCCAGATTGGATCTCTGTTTAACAAGCTTCAACCCATTGCTTGTGTTCTGCCCTCAGGTACTTTGGAGAATAAATTGACCTCCACTTCTCTGTGGCAGCCCCTCATGTGCGGTAATAGAGCTATCATGTCACCCCTAATTCTTCATTAGTTGGACAGACCTAGTTTCTTTAATCATTCCATGTACAATTTATCCCACAGACCCCCTTAGTTGCTCTTCTCTGCATTCTTTCTAGGGTCTCAGCATCTTTTTTAATAGCATGGTGACCAGAATTGGACATAGTATTCCAAGTGTGGCTATACTAGTACAGCATAAAGTAGTACTATCATGTCTTGTGATCTTCATGCTATTCCTCTATTGATGCAGCCTGTGACTACATTGGCTTTTTTGGTAGTTGTAGCACACTGCTGGCTCATACTAAAGTGTGCTCCATTAGGATACCTCATTTCTAGCTGTAGGTATTACTAGGTATATTACTCAGTAGGACATTATGTGCTTTCTAGTTCTGAGGCAGCAACTGTTTTTCTGTGATGGCTGAAAAAATTAGTTATCATCAATTGGTGGGAATAGTCAATTGGTGGGAATAGCTACACTTATTGCTTCTTCCACAAACACACGTCAGAGGAAAGTCCCCTCCCTTCCATATGCAAGAGGGTGGAATAAAGAATAGTAAATTGTGCAACAAGCAGATTAAATTTAGCTACCTGAGGATTAACTCAGCTTTCTTGGTCATCATATTTTCCAAGGATTAAACAAAGAAGACTAACATCTGCCAACATCTAGAAACGAGTAAAGTAATAACTAGAAGTCAGCATGGGTTTGTTAGAAACAGATCATGCCAAACCAATCTTATCTCATTCTTCAACACAGTGACTAAATTAGTAGAGCAGAAAAATACGGTGGACACAATATACTTAGACTTCAGCAAGGCATTTGACAAAGTAGACCACAACCTACTTCTTGGTAAGCTAGAAAAAAGTGGAATAGATAGCATCACCACCAGATGAATTTGTAACTGGCTAACAAACCATACTAATGTACCTAGTCCTTAATGGTACACATCTACATGGAGGGAAGTAAGCAGTGGAGTACCAGAAGGTTCCGTCTTAGGCCCAGTACTCTTCAATATCTTCATAAATGACTTCAATGAAAGAATAGAAGGGGAACTTACCAAATTTGTGGATGATACTAAGCTGGCAGGAATAGCCAACACCTTAGATGATGTTGGCTATTGAACTTGAACATGGGGCTCTATCTAACAAAATGAAATTCAATGTAAAGAAAAGTAAAGTCTTACCTTAGGCAAGAAAAATCAAAAATACACATATAGACTAGGTGAAACCAAGCTTAATAGCAGTAACTGTGAGAGAGATCTTGGAGTCTTAGTCGAGGACCAATTAAACATGAGCCAAGACTTGATCGGCAGCATCCAAAAAAACAACAACACAATCCTTAGTTGCATTAACAGAGGGATACAATCAAGATCAAGTGAGGTATTAATATCACTCTATAAAGCCTTAATAAGGCCACTCTTATAAAGCCTTAGTGCAGTAAACACTGCATGCAGTTTTGACCCCCGCACAATAGAAAAGATGTTGAAACTCTAGAAAGAATTCAGAGAATCGTCCAGGGGACTGGAGGCTAAAACATATGATGAATGGTTGTAGATGCTAGTCTAGTGAAGAGAAGGACCAGGGGAGACATGATAGCAGTTGTTCCAATATTTGAGACTCTGTTAATCTGTTAAAAAAACATTTTCTACTAAATTCTAACACAACTTACCCGTAAGAAAGACTTTTTTCCTCCCAAAATGATCTGATAGTTGTCCAAAAGTAATTACTCCAACAAACACACCACCGAAGAAACATGAACTGGCAACACTGATCTTATATGAAGTATTGCCAATTAAAAACCACTATGGACAGAAAAGAGAATGTTGGGTAGAATCTAATGGAACTTATCAGAAATACAGAATCTTTCAACAAAACCATTTTCAAAACTAATCTTCCATCTTTCATTTTTCAGATATTCTATTTGGCAGATGGGTATCTAAGAACAATAGAAAAGAGCAGGTTGACATTCCTGATGCAAACTGAAATAGATCTGAATTATTTATCACATCAAGTTTCATTCAATATCCTCACTTGAATTCTTATGCTCAAACACAGAGCCATTAAGAAAGCAAACTTCCTTTTAAACGCTGGCCTGCAAACTTGAGAGTCAGATTCAAATGAAGCTCCAGGGCTTGGGAAAATCCAAAGGTCCTTCTTAAGGTTTCTTAAATTTGCTACATTTTAGGGTAATCTTTTTGATTTTCTAGAATTGACTATAAATAATCAGATTATCTAGAAACCATCAGATTAAATGAATACTCTCCCCATAAAAGAGATTAGAAGTTGATGTTTCTCAGTGAATAAAGTAATTTTTATAACTGCATTTATAGATGCTTTCATTCTTTCTATTTTTCAAGGCCTTTTAAAGCTAAATTTAATACCAAAAACATTCATCAAAAACTATTGATTTGATATCAAACTACTTTTATGTACTTCTGCTGCAAAACAATAACTTTTCAAACTTGTTGATCAAAGCTGTACATAGAAATCTTGGAGTACTATTAGTCTCATATCAATGAGGAGGCAATTCTATTTCTGCTCTGATACCAAGAGACTGACATCCGACTTAATAGCTGACTTTTAGAGTGAATCTAGGACAACTTACTGCAGCCAATTCACCAGCAGCAGCTCACTACCAAATTGCCTCTGTCAATTCCTGCAGGACAACTCCACACAGCAAACTTGCCATGAGGTGATAGTCAGGGGCATCCCATTTTCACACTGGCACCAGACATGGGATGTGCTGGAGGTTCTATGTTTTCAAGAGTGCGTTCCTGATAGCGGTTATCTGGCTTGAACAATAATTAGTGAAACAGATTTTATAATTATAACAAAAGCAATATCCATATACTGGAAATGCATTACAGGGATAGGCAAAATCTAGTACCCATGTTTGCCGGAAAATAAGACCCTGTCTTATTTTCTTTTGCCCTCCGAAATAAGCGCCAGGGCTTTTTCAGACAGTCCTTTCTTCCATCCTTCACTAAGTTTCTGTCTATTGACGGCTCAGTCACCATTCTAGGACATTTTAGTTGCCTCTAAAACAAGGTTCATGTTACTATTTAATTTGAATTTTGTCCAAAAGCTCATCATTGCTGCTTATGACTTCCAAGTTGTAATACTAAAGTTATAGTATTCAGCCTTTCCATATAAATTATGCTTCATACCTCAGAGGCTATTGATGTAAAATTTGTGTTAAAATGTACGTATTTATGAAGGTCATTCCAATTGGCTGTTAGGAGCCACTTTCTAAAGTTGCTTTCTTCAATAGTTGTGTCATTACTATGGCTACGATTAGTTAATATTCCTTCCCAGTGATAAGGTGGTATTGCTCCTACTAATGCAATGAGGACTGCTTCAGTGGCTACATAGAGCTGAAACAAGAAAAACAACAACATCAAGATCAATGCCAGATAAACAGACAACATTCAAAGCATTCAAAAATTGAAGAGCCAGTTTGGTCTAGCAGCTAAGCCACCAGGCTTGAAAGGAGAAGATCACAAGTTCAAATCCTGCCTTAGTCATGAAAGCCAGGTGGGTGACTTTGGGCCAATTACTCTCTCTCAGCCCAACCCATCTCACAAGGTTGTTGTTGTGGGGAAAATAGGAGGATGGATATGTTCATCACTTTGAGTTATTTGTAAACATAATAAAGGCAGGATACAAGCAGCATGGTGACCTTGTTGTAAAGATGCTCACCTCCCACTTGGAAGGTTGAGAGTTCAAGCCTAGGTAGCAGCAGATATTTCTCGCCTAGGGCGCAAAGAAAAAATATCTGCTGCAAACTCCACATGGCTTCAGGGGAGGGTGTCAAACTCACATCATCACGGCAGCGTCACATGACGTATTGGGACTTTCTCCCGCTTTGCTAAACCAGGCATAGGTGTGGCCAGCATGTGACACATCTGGCCCACGGGCCGGGAGTTGGACAGTCCTGCTCAGGACATCTGGCAAGTAAACGCTCAGCTTCATCCAGTTGTCCCAACTCTACCCCAAATTAAGGGATTGCAGGTTTGTAAAAAATGAGTTTTAATAAAGGCAGGAAAAAAACAAATAATAACAAATATCTTAAGAGTCAAAAGGGTGAGTTTTTTTTACCTCTTGGATTATACGGGAACTACCAAATCAAACTCTTTGGATGCTTCAGTTACAACTTGTTCACACTAAGATATGACTGAGTCTTTGCCTGCCCAAGAAACTGTTATAAAATCTGATCAAACAAGAAAGCCTTTCATTAATCATATTCCCAGCTTGAGTGAAATAGAAAAATCTGATAATTCAGACTTCCTGATCTACTTGCACTATTAAAGAAAATATACAGTGAATTGACAAAGTGATTCAATGTAAAGTTGAAAAGTCTTTATTCAATAAACACACAATGTTAACCAACCAATGACTCATATACTGTATTTTAAACCATTTGCACACAAAATATGACTATTAATATTTTCAGTCATGTCCTTGGCCATTAGACAGTCCAAATAGATGTTGCCAACTATCATAGCTACGCCTGATACTCAGATCAAATGATCCTCCTAGGACATCTTCCCTAACAAATTAGGTCTGATAAATTGAAAGGAAAATAGTAAGATATATACTTCTGGAATCCCATGACATTTGCTTGGGCTGAGAGACTAAACCCAAACCAAAGTCATGGCTAGAACAAACTGTCCTATTGAAAATCTTTGCTCCCATCCTCAGATTCTAAACTGAAAATCCAAAAGGTAGTGGAGTTGGTAACGAGCCTGGCAGCTGCCACCCAATTTACCAGTTTCAAAGTAGAAAAGCTGATCACTTGAGATATGCTGAAACAGGGTGCGGATCTCCTAAACTCTGCTGAAAATGTTATTTACCCTGGTAACGAAACGCTGGGAAACCAACCCACAAGCTCGGAGAACGAACCTTTACCCTACACCCGAGCTGCAGATATTCGGCACGATTGCACATGCCGAACGCCTTAGATATAAAATCTACATTTCGCACCGATTTGTAAACTTGTGTAGTCTGCCTAAATTCTCCTCCCAGTTAATACATAACAGGGCTAGGCGTCTCATTTAAAACAGACGGCACACCCTTTCACCACCACCTTGCTCTGTTAGTCGCCCCTTAAATTCCCTGCATTCTTCTTGTGGGTTTTGTACGTGGATCTCACGCCACCAGGACATAAGAAAAGGTTCTTTCCTGACGTAAATCGCACCGCGCTGCGAACCGCGCCCTACCCAGGGCCAAAAGCGTTTCTTTCCCGATGGGTCATACGAGCACGCCAGCCCTCGCGGCAAGAGACGCCCCTCAGGAGTCTTTCTCACCTGCAGCAGCGCGGCCAGCAAGAAGCAAAGCCACACCTGGAAGGGGCCCATCTGGCCCACCAGAGAGAAGGCCTCTTCCACCTCCATGGTGATACTCGCGAGGTGGCGGCCTTCCTCCTCCTCCTCTCGGGTCGCGCATCCCCTTCCCCAGAAAACTCTCTTCCTAAGACAAAGCGAAGCAGCGCGAACAGAAGAATCAACGCACAAGAAGCAGAGAGCAGAAGGACGTATGCGTAGGAAGGGATTCCGGCTTCCGCTCTAGGAAAACCATTCAGCTGAGTAAGAGATTTCCGGGTTGTGTCGGATGTCGCCTTTGTCCGACGGGATAGGTGCTCGTTTGAGAAGGTGTAACTGCGGTTGGCCATTAGGGGTCGCTCGTCTCCGCTCTTTCAGATTCTCCTTAAAACTGCTCCTTCGCGGTATGAGAAATAAGGTTCATGATGCAAAGTGGTTTGTAAACTAAGCAAATGAAGTCGACTTAGAGGTCCGGGAAAACGTAAAACACACGGCTAATAAGGCTATTTAGCCGAGGCCCAGAGAAAGAATTGAGATTGCTCTCCTGACAGGAGGTTATACAACTTGCCTCGTGGTGTAACCGGAACAATCTGGAACTGAACACACTCAAAACCCTAGAAATGGTGGTAGACTTTAGAGGAAACCCTCCCACACTACCACCTCTTACAATACTAAACAACACAGTATCAACAGTAGAGACCTTCAAATTTCTAGGTTCTACTATATCACATGACCTAAAATGGGCACCTAACATCATCAAAAAAGCACAACAAAGAATGTTCTTTCTGCGCCAACTCAGAAAGCTCAAACTGCCCAAGGAGCTGCTGATACAGTTCTACAGAGGAATTATTGAGTCTATCATCTGCACCTCTATAACTGTCTGGTTTGGTTCTGCAACCCAACAGGACAGACACAGACTTCAGAGGGTAATTAGGACTGCAGAAAAAACAATTACTACCCACCTGCCTTCAATTGAGGACCTGTATACTGCACGAGTCAAAAAGAGGGCTGTGAAAATATTTACAGACCCCTCACATCCCGGACATAAACTGTTTCAACTCCTTCCCTCAAAACGATGCTATAGAGCACTGCACACCAGAACAACTAGACACAAGAACAGTTTTTTCCCTAAAGCCATCACTCTGCCTAAGCAAATAATTCCCTCAACACTGTTCAACTATTTACAAAGTGTACACTACTATTACTGTTAATCTTCTCATCACTCTTTATCACCCATCCCCTCCCACTTGTGATTGTAGGACTGTAACTTAGTTGCTTGTATCCTTATGATTTATATTGACTGTTTCCTTGTGTGATTTAATTGTTGATTGTACCTTATGACTATCATTAAGTGTTGTACGTTATGATTCTTGATTCTTAACAAATGTACCTTTTCTTTATGTATACTGAGAGTATTTACACCAAGACAAATTCCTTGTGTGTCCAATCACACTTGGCCAATAAAGCTATTCTATTCTATTCTATTCTATTCTATTCTATTCTATTCTATTCTATT